AAGAAAGAATTAAAAGAGATGAATAGATCGACATATGGATTGATAGAGAGATAGAAAGAGAGATAGATAGATCGGTATATATAAATGTATGTATATCTGTCTATCTATCTATCTATCTATCTATATACACATACATACATAAATACACACACACACACACACACATCACACACATAGCACACACACACACACACACACATATACATATATATATATTATATATATATTATATATATATATATATATATATATATATATATATATAATATATAATATAATATATATATACATACAGAGAGAGAGAGAGAGAGAGAGAGCGAGAGAACAAACAGATATATAGTATGTATCTGTAGAAAGATAGATAGATATAAGAGATAGATAGATAGTCAGATAGATATAGATAAAGATAGATAGATAGATAGATAAATAGATAGAGAGGACTGGACAGAAAATATTTCAACATGATGTCAACCTCTTTGTGATGTCTCAATATCCTTGTACATTTTTTTTTTTTTTTTTTTTTTTCAAACTTTTCCTTATATCATGTAAAAGTTTCAGCCTGTACATTTTCACCCTTCGGCGAGTCCCAAAGGTATATAACTTTGTATGTAAAGTATGTGCTTCCCTTTAGAAGCTCTGGTCTCGTTTCATTAGTTTAAATATGGTGGAGTCTCGGTTGATCTGACATACAAACAGAAAAGTTTTCAAGAATAAAATTCACCTCTCTCATCTCATCTCTCTCTCTCTCTCTTTCGCCTCTGCCCTCTTCCTCTCTCTCTCTCTCTTTTTTTTTCATTCTTTGTTCCCTCTCTCCTCTCTCTCTCTCTCTCTTCTCCTCTCTCTCTCTCTCTCTCTCTTCCTCTCTCTCTCTCTCTCTCTCTCTCTCTCTCTCTCTCTCTCTCTCTCTCTCTCCTCTGCTCTCTCTCTCATCTCTCTCTCACTCTCGTCTCTCTCCTCTCCTCTCTCTCCTCTCTCTCTCTCTCTCTCTCTTTTTCGCCTCTGCCCCCGCTCTTCCTCTCTCTCTCTTTCTTTCATTCTTTATCCCCCCCTTCTCTCTCTCTCTCTCTCTTTCTCCCTCTGGCCTTCCCTCTTCTCTCTCTCTCTCTTCGCTCTCCTTTTTCATTCTTTGTTCCTCGCTCTCTTTCTCTCTTCTTTTTCTTTTCTCTCTCTTTCTTTCTTTCTCCTCTGCCCCCGCTTCTTTCTCTCTCTCATCATCTCTTCATTCATTCTTTGTTCCCCGCTCTCTCTCCTCTCTCATCTTCTCTTCCTCCGTCTTCTCTCTCTCCTCCGTTCTCTCCTCCTCTTCTCTCTCCCCTCTGCCTTCTCTCTCCTCTCTCCCCTCTCTCTCCTCTCTCTTCTCTGCGTCTCTCATCTTGAGCGCTCTGCTTCTCTCTCTCTCTCTCTCTCTCGTTCTCGCTCTCTGTCGTTATTTGACATTACACTCCACACTCAACAACTCGACCTACCCTTGAAGATCTCCTGTGCTCCTTAATCGCCTGCATCGAGTACTCTCCTTCATTTTCTATTCCAGGAAGGGGAAAAAAAGAGAAAACGAGGGAGAAACGAGAAGGAGACACGCAATAAAAGAAAAAAAAAATGATGATGCTAAAAAAAAAAGAGAAAAAAAAGTGTTTTCCTCCGACGTTCCAATATGACTGGATCGTACTCATCCCCCCCCCACCCCCCACCCCTTTGCCTTCTTTCTCTCTCTCTCTCATTAAACGAATAACTTAACTTAATGAGGCGAAGGGAGGGATGGCTGCTGAGGCTTGTGGTCCTGATTAGAGGTGCGAACCACGTAATGAGGGCGTTTAAGACAGGGGTTTAGGGGCTCGGAAGGCGTGGTATGACAGCCGCAGGGAATGAGGGGCTCAGGCCATAGCAGGGACACGGGGGAGATTGGCGATAGATTCAGTGCGAGGGAATGGCGTCAAAATGAGAAATAAAGAGAGAGAAAGGGAGGGAGAGAGAGAAGAGGGGGGGGGAGGGGAGGGAGAGGGAGAGAGAGAGAGGAGAGGGGACAGAGAGAGAGAGAGAGAGAGGAAAGAGAGAGGAGAGAGAGAGAGAGAGAGAGAGAGAGAGAGAGAGAGAGAGAGAGAGAGAGAGAGAGAGAAGAGAGAGAAGAGAGAGGAAGAGGAGAGAAGCGAGAGAGAGAGGAGGAGAGAGAGGGCGAAGGGGAGGAGGAGAGAGAGAGGAGAGAGAGAGAGAGGAGGGAGGGAGGGGAGCGAGGGGAGGGTGAGAAAAACAGAGAGAAAAGAGAGAGAGTGGAAGGGAGGGAGCGAGGGAGAGAGAGAATGGAGAAAAGAGAGAGAAAGAAAGAAAAAAAAAGAGAGAGAAGTAGAAGAGGAGGGAAGAAGAAGAAAAAAAAGAGAAGAATCGAACGCAAAAAGGGCCCTAATTGAACAGATAAACCGGCAGGATATTTCTTAGAACGTAATTGTAAATTGAGAATTCAATATTCAGAGGTGATTTAGAGGGCAGGTGTGAAAGGGAAATCTAAGAAGGGATATTGTTGTCACTGATACGGATGGCGAGGAAGGAAGAGAGAAAGAGAGAGAGAGGGGTGGGGGGGGAAAGGGAGGAGAAGAGAAAGAAGAGAGAGAGAGAGAGAGGAGAAGGAAGAAGGAGGAGGAGAGAAGAGAGAGAGAGAGAGAGGGAGAAGGAGAGGAAAAGAAAAGGAGAGGAGGAAGAAGAGAGAGAGTTTAGACAACCACAGATGAGAAGAGCGGGAGGGACAAGCGGGAGGGGGGGTGGGGAAAGGAGAAGAATATATGGTAATTAGATAGATAATGACAGAGAGAGAGAGAAAGAAGAGAGTCAAGACTTGGAAGATTCCATGTGGCTTCTAACTCAATAATATAGATGAAAAAAAAAAACATAAAACAAATCCTCTTTCTCCTCTTTGCT